AAAAGACAAAAATCTGCTTAAATGGATGTAGTGGCTGCTGTTGTGTAGAGTTTTACAGGCATATAGCGTTCTACTGTGTGCTTGGCCTAAGATCAAATTTTAACCCTTAAATTTCAGTTCTTCACAGACTAACCTTTATATTTGTGTTTTTACTGGATTTTTTTATTTACTCTGGTTTGCAGATAAGTGATGTGTTTTAGAAGCAAGAGATTTAGTCTCTATCTGTAGACAAAATTTCTCAAGACCTCCTGGGGTTTATAAAAGTAAAGGACAAATTAATTTGTGCTGTATAGGGAGGTATATTTAACCATTTTTTTTCTTTATTGTCTGTATTATTAAATCAATCTCAAATTATTTGCTTTTCATCTCATTCTTAGAAATAGTTTCCAGTCACATATGCTCAGTCTAATAGATGCCTGGATAGTAACTGGGATAAAGTAAATACCTCTTGCATAGTAAAGTAGGACCAGTCTAGAAAATCATTAAGCCACCTACTGTGCTCTAGCTGTGTACAGTTTTGCTTATCAAGTCAGAGGAAACCTGATGGCAATGACCTTGGAGTTTTTATCAGCATTTTAGATGTTTTACCGTTTTTGCAAGTGTGGCAGACAGAAGTATTGACAAAATCAGTTGCATACAGAAATCCTCTGCAATGCACGTGGGTAAGCAGGTCGGATGTGGAAAAGACACACGTGCAGGTGTTAGCTTTAATATAATGGAGCTTTAAAAGGTTTTATAATAGGTCATTTGGGGGAACTCCCTCCCTTTTTCCCCCTGTGGTCAAACAGACTTGTCTTTTGAGAAATCAGGGGAAGGGAAATCCCTTGCTTTCTCCACAGAAGGGCTGTTGCTAGAGTCTTCAGATGAAGAAAGTCCCTGCAAGAGGGCTTTGGTGACATTTGTCCTCTTGGCTCCTTTATTTAGCTGCATTTGAAAGAAACATATTTAAAAATTTTCTAATATCCAGCTATTCTATTAACTTTTCTTGACATCCAGGTCTTCATTACATCCCGTAGGCTAATGATGTTGGATGGGTTAAGTTGAAGTGAATTGAAAGCAGAAAGTAGGTACTGTAACAGAATGTAGTATGTGTGCAAAAAAATTACCAGTCCTTGCACACACTGACTGCTGAATAACAGCTTCTCCTCTGGGACAGTAGGTTCCATGCTACTGAGGCTCAAATTCAATGTAAAATATGCTCTCTTGTACATGGAGTCACTTTGCCTGCTTTTCAAAGTAAATACTTTATAATGATGCATTGCTTTTCTATTGGTGTTAGTGATAGCTCACAACTGTCAGCTGGAAATGCAATTCAGTATGAAACTGAGATGTGGTAGTGCATAAATACCTCTTATAAAATGGCAGACTACTGTGGAAAAATAAATACTAAGAAAATAACTTAAATGTTCTCCAGGATTTGGTAATAAATATTCAAACCACCGTGGTAAATATATTTAGATACCCTGGTCATCTTTTTTTCTAAGTTAAAAATTGGAGGTTATATTAAATTCATTGTGGCCCTCGTTTTGAGTTAAAACGGTTGTGTGGGAGACCTTAGCAGTGGTGCTTGAAGTGGCCCAAAGTTGGAATAAGAAAAGATGCTGAGAGCCTGTGACTACTGTGATGTTGGGTGCAGTTCTGTAGATCCAAGAGTTCCACTGAGATTTTTGGTAATTTTGTGAGTCTTCCTGAATCATATTAGCAAATTTGGAAATGGCAGATCCTCTGGAGGCAGCCGTACAAGTAGAGAAGAGCATATCCCAAAAGGTCTGAGGTGAGATGTTGGTTTTAAAGCCATGGTGGTTCTGTGTGTATAAAACGCTAAAAAGTCTGAGGCTGGGAAGAAATTTAATGGCATGGTGACAAATTTACAAAGGTGAAAGCAATCAAACATCAAGTTTTTATGTTAAGTTACCATGGAGATAATTTAGTAAATCCAGGAGAAGACTTTTTCATGAGAGGAGTGTGTAGTAAAACTCACGCACATTCAAAGCTCAGTTATATGGGACATCTTTT